AGAACACAGGCAGTAACTCTATGACATCACCTGTAGCAACCTCTTACTAGATAGGTCTCCTGAGGCAAGGGAAACAAAAGCAAAAATAAATGATTGGAACTTCATCAAAATAAAAAGCCTCTGGGTGTCTTTACTGGGTGCCTTTCCTGGGTGGATCAGTTGGTTCAGCTCAGGTCATGATCCCAGGGTCCTGGGATCAAGTCCTGCATCAGATTCACTGATCACTGGGGAGCGTGCTTCTCCCTCTCCCTCTGCCTGCCCTCCCTCTGCTTGTGCGCTCTCTCTCTGTCAAATAAATAAATAAGTAGTGTCTGTACAGTGAAGGAAACAATTAATAAAACCAAAAGGCAACCTACAGAATGGGAGATGATATCTGCAAATGACATATATGCTAAAGGATGAGTATATAAAATATATGAATAACTTGTAAAACTTACAAAACTCAACACCTAAAAATGAATACATTAAAAACTTAAAAATTTAAAAAGGGAAGAAGATATGAACATTTTTCTAACAAGACATACAGATGGCTAACAGACATATGAAAAGGTACTCAACATCGGTCATCATCAGGGTAGTTTTGATTTTTCTATTTATATTTTCTGATCCACTAATTTTTGCTTTAATAATTTTTTATATTTTATTGAATATATCTTATTATCTTTATTATGTTAGTCACCATACAGTATGTTATTAGTTTTTGATATAGTGTTCCAAGATTCATTGTTAACATTTAATACCCAGTGCTCCATGAAATATGTGCCCTCTTTAATACCCACCACCTGGCCAACCTGTCCCCCCATCTCCCTCCCCTCTAAAACCCTGTTTGTTTCTCGGAGTCCATAGTCTCTCATGGTTTGTCTCCCCCTCTGATTTCCCCCTTGTCATTTTTCCTTTCCTTCTCCTAATGTCATTCTTAATTCTTTCTCTTACCTCTATGTTGCAATTTCTTTAAAATTTACAGATTTGAATACCTATTTGTGATTTGTCTTTCTAGACAATGTATATTGGCATTTAGAAATTAGTTTTATTCTGAGCAGAGATTCAGCACCATCCTACAAATTATAGTATAACTTTTTATTATCTTATGTCCTGCTATATTATTTTGAATTCATTCTTTCATCTAATTATTTTAAAAGAAATGTATAAAATAAGCTTCACATGGTAGTGGCTAATTTTCTTGTATTGACATTGGAGAATATTGCCAGACTAATTTCTCATGTAATTAACAGTTTCATTATGATCTGTTATGTTTTTTAGATTTTTTATTTATATTTTTCAGAGAGACAGAGAGAGAGAGAGAGCACGTGCACACAAGTAGGCAGAGGGATAAGGAGGTTCTCTGCCAAGCAAGGAGCCTGATGTGGGGCTCAATTCCAGGACCCTGGGATCATGACCTGAGCAGGAGGCAGATGCTCAACCACCCAGGCACCCCCGATAGTTATTTTTTCGTTAGTGTCCATACAACACTGGAAAATGTAATATACTATATATTTTTATGGCAAAAATCCTTACATGCATTTTTTTTTTTTTTTGCTTTAATGCTGGGTTATTTTCCAAGACTCTCTTTACCCATCCCCACCCCAACTCCATCTCACACTGAGGTTGAGAGGTTCAGCATCTACTGTGAAAAAACACACCCCCAAGATGTTTACAAAAGTGCAAAATAAAAAAGCATATGGATACCAACTATGGACTGGAAATGTTTTAAGTTCTTGAAATTCAGTAAATGGATTCAATGGCATATGAGACAAAGTGATTCCCATGTGTTAGAGCAGAAGGAATACTAGATAACCACTCCTTATTAGATAAAATGTTAGCATATTCCTAAGAAGCCTAGTGGGGGTCCATCACACACTCTGAATCACTCACAAAGCAAACGTTTGTGTGGCAAGGGCTCCTTTGTTTCTGACTGCAACAGGAGTGGCCCTGCTGTCTTCATGAGCAAGCCCTTGGAACACTTTTCCCAGATCTGATGGCAGTGACATCCCTTTATTTGACCTCTGAATGAGCTGATGAGGGAACAGAAAATCCCATTTTTAAACATTATTTTATTTATTTTCCTCATGTAGACATCAATCACAAATAATACATATTTTTATTGTTGCTTACTGTATTTCAAGAATAGCACATTTTTAGTTTTAACTGAATGACTTTTGTTGAAAAATTACTCAATCCTTTTGAAATTACGACTATAAAGGTAATGTGCCCCCATGCTACAAAAAATCATAAAGCAATAATTTTAATAACTTTAACACAAGTTCCAAAGATTTCAGAAGAGAAAAACTTCGTGGAGTATTAATTCTTGCACAAGCTCTTCTGAGGTCACAAATACGCAAAATACTACTTTTACACATGCCACTTTAAAAATACCATCTATGTTTCAAGTTCCTTGTCCAGATTACACCTGATCATCTTAACAACCCTGCAAAATAGGTGGTACTGTACCCACTTCTCGTATTAGAAAAAAAACTGAGGTATAGAAGATTTAAGTAACTTGTTCCAGACTTCATGGCTGTTAAGAAGCAGAGTCAGGATTCTAATTCTATTCACTGTCACCAAAACCACTATATCTTCTGCCAATTCTTGTTCTACTATATCTGCTGAACTTTATTATGATTGTTACAAGATGCTATTTGAACAAAAACATGCTATTTCAGAACATTAGGTAGTGTAGATTAGGACAAAGTTTTCAAAGCTTTTCAAGCTCAGCTTAAACCCCCCCCCCCCTTAATAGCAGCTTAGCCACTATTCAAAGCTCATGAGACTTTGGTGTCAGTACAGTCTTTGAGAGAGACCCATCTGGTCCTTTTCTTTGGTTGTTTGATCATCTGAGCCCTCTTTCCCCTGCATGCCTGGGGTGGCCTCAGGGGTAACCAGCATGTTTGAATTTTGTTTGGAATCACTCATCCTGCATGAAAGTAATTGTGAGGCATTCATAGCCTCTTGACTGGTGAATTCTTTGGATAAGAGGAATCAATTCAGAAGAAATATGGCAAAGATGCCAGTGAAATGCACTGAAATACTTAGCAATAAAATCGGGAATCCTGTAAGAAGGGAGAGGCAGTGTAAAATTTGGGAGGCTGAGGCATATTACAAGTAAGGGACTGAGAAATTCTGAGTATGTAGACAAAAGACAAAGCCCCATAGCCCCCACATTCTCTTAGGAGCTAATTTATCTGTTCCATGTGGCTGAGCCATCCATACTTAAAGACTGCACACAGGTTACCATTAACAATATTCAGCTGGTCCGGGTGATTCTGGGCATGTAGGTGAGGGAAGAGGAAGCATGGTGCCTGTGTTCTGCAAATATACCACTGAGTTCCATTTGTGGTTCCACTAACTTAAACCTATGGGTCATAGCCATATGGGCAAGTAATTTAACCTCTCTACCTTATTTACCTCATTAGGATTACGAGAAAATTATGGCAAGTACTTCATAAGTTTGGTCTGAGAATTAAATCTGTGCTTTGGAGAGTGTTAGTGCATGGCACAAACTCTGTAAATGTACCCTGTCTTCACTGAATAGTTAGGAAGTCTGGATCTCCTGGAACTCATAAATCTGGTGTGTTTTCATCTCTTAGCCAAAAGAAGAACTTTTTGCAGTTAATCCACACAGAACATTATACATTTTATATTAGATAAACTGTGAGAACTGTGTTGTTCAATTTAATTCATTTGCTTGTTCTGTTAATGAAAAAATGCATGAAAACTATCCACTTAAATTTTGTATTTTTCTTATCAATTATTTATTTGTATATCTGATGCTGTGTTATTAAATGAATACAAAATTGGAAAAGTTCTATCTTCCAGGTAAATTATAATTTAATGTTTATATACTAACTTTATCTCCAGCAATGTGTTTATCCTTAATATCAACTTCATCTATTGCAGGAGTCACAGGATTGCTACTTAATTTTTTCATCCTATTACTTTTAATGTTTCTGAATTCTTATGTTGTAGCTGTGTATTTTAAACAGCTTATGATTTAATTTTAATTTTAATCAGGCCTGATAATCTTGGAGTGTTAGTTTTTAAGCCATATCCATTTAACCTGATAGCGTAATGTGTTATATTCTTATGATCACTACTGTATTTAGTTTTTGTCCCTTTATATATTTCACTTTTTTAATCTTTCCATTCTTATATTACAACTGGTTTCAATACTTTTGTTATTCTACTATCTTTTACAATCTTGTCACTTATATATTGAAAACTTTTGTCAAAATCCCCTTTTTTAATTTCTAGAGATAACACAAAATATTGAACACAAGGAACTGTTTATCTGAGTTCAGGACTAATTGTGCTGTTATAAGGAATAATGATGCTATGCTAAACAGCATGAGAACACACATTTCTGTATGTATAATAGCACAGTGAGCTATTAATGCCATCATAGGAATTACCAATGTCTTAATTTGTAAATGCTTTATCTGTGTCTGCTACAACTGATCACAGCCACTTGAATATGTTTTCATTAGATGCTAACCACTGAGCCTGCGAAAAGGAAAGAATGATTATTTACACACCTCACACTCAACACAACAGCAAATCCTATTAGCTTTTCACCGTCAGCTTCCAGCTCTTCCAGATACTATATTATATGATGATGTATCTTTTATATATATTTTCAATGATAGAACTTTTATACACATTTATATCCATACACATAATTATTAAATATATACTTTCAAATATGAGTAATTTCACATCAAGCTTCACAGGATAAAAACATGTAAACATACACACCTGGTTCTGGTCAAGTAAAACACAAAACCACAAAGTAACCACATGTTCAAGAGTGCACTTGAAGGGGAATGAGGGAAGGAACAGACATGTAAACAACAAAGATGAGCAGTTGTACCACAAAGGCCCTGCGAGGGTCCATTTCTTAAGGCTGTAGTAGCAAAAAAGCTCCTTGTTCAGTTAAGACTTCTCCCTTCACCCTGTCACATTTATTCTTGAGGGACTTCAAAATGAGTGTGGAAATTCTGTAAACACTAGACTAGAACTGAGTCAATCCTGTTGAAAACAGAGATGACAAAATAAACCATAAACTACAGTAATATTCATTGCATCAAACAATAACTTTAAGGACTTTTTGTTACAGTTCACCACAGTAAAGCACCATAACCTTGAAATGGGGATGGACAAGAAAACAGAGATGGATGCTTTATAAAAATGGCTTCAATAGCCTCTGTGAATGATAGATGTGACTACAAACAGAAAACAAGCAACAGCGGATGGCAGAGCCTTAGCACACCAGACCACATGCCACAGCATAATGCCACAGATTCAAACTGAAAAAAATTTTCCAGCTCATAATGAAGCAAGTCCCACTGGTCCTCTGAGAAAGAAAGCTCATCATCTGCCAGTGAAAGAAAACACTTAAACAACAGATTGGCCAGCCGAAGCATGACAAGCTCTTTTTTACCGCTTTTAAAGGGCATCTCACCCTCTCCCACCTGAGTAGGCTCCAAAAGTTGACTGCAGTGAGCACCGGATTCCCCAGCACCCTGCCTCTGAGGATCCTCTCCCGGGCCCTCAGGGTCTGCGTGCTTGTAAAAACAGTTCTCTCCAAATGGGCAGAAACCCCTGCTTTCAGCAAAATACCTGCAAGTCTTGTTGCTCATTGCCTCCTTGTACTGCTGAATAAGTTTCTGCTTCTCTTCCTCCTCCTCCACCCAGAACTCACTGGGAATGACAAAGTTGGAGGTGACCCTGCACTGTGGACAGGACTTGACGATCCTGTTGCCAAACTGTTTGTCAGTCCTCCACCTGCGGATACACTTAAGACAGTAGGTGTGGTTGCAGTTGGAGAGGATGCCAAAGCGGCAATCACTGGGGTTGGCTTTCTCATAGACAACCTCCATGCAGATGCCACACACTTTGTCCATACTTCGCTGCACTGCAAACGAGAGTTCCATATCCTCCTCGTGTGCTTCAATGCAAGCCTTTATATGGTGTTCCCTCTGCACAGGATCCAGAGGGTGCAAGACCTGACGCCCACACATATCGCATATCTCTCCATGGAGATACATGCAGCTCTCCCCACGAAAGCACTGCCCCATTGCAGCATCCCGGCAAAGCGGCGGCCCCCTGCCCACTGCAATCTGTTCCCTCTCAGTCACTGAGCTCTGTGGAGGAGCGCTGGGACTAGGGAACATGCGGCCCCGGTAGGGTTGCCCAGGAACAAACTCAATGGCATTCTCCCAGCCTTCCGCACCTGCTCCTCCAGCAGCTTCAAGGCCTGCATTGTCTCTCCCAGCTTCAAAGGAACCCCCTTCAACAGCCAAGCCAATCACAGGCAAGGAGAAAGAGGATGCAGCGGGAGGGGCTTCCGCCACTTCCTGAGGAAGGGTCTCAGCTTGCGCAGCCGTGCTAGGGCCTTGGTCTGCAGGACCAGGGCCCTCCCTGGCCACCTGCCGGCCCGAGAGGTCATGAGAGTAACGACAGTTCTCCCCCTCCTTGCAAAGCCCATGCAGATAATACCTGCAGGTGACTTGCTTCGTCCAGCTGCCACCACTCCGGCCCGGCAGGAGACTGAGCCCAGCCCCTCCCCCTGCAGCCTGGGCAGGCCTCAGACGTGACGCACGGAGGGGGGCCGGACCTGCAGCTGAAAATTGCCGGAAGACCGGGCGCGTGCGGAGGGAAGGCCCAGATGCACCCTCCCCTGCTGCCTCGGCACCCGCAGATGCCCCAGGTGCCTCAGAGGCTTCAGAGGGAGCTGCAGGCTCTTCCATGGCAGCTTCTTCTCCCCCAGAGGGTACCGGAACTTCTCCGGTGTCTCTTCCTTTCGGCTTGAGGCCCAGAGAGCCGGAGCCGGCACCGTGGTCTCTTATCTAGGAAGTGTGCATCTCTTTTCTTCTCCCCGGCTCTCTTCCTGTGACTATTGGTTCCTACTTCCTCTCTGGGCAGGCGCGGCGGACACTTCCTGTGAGGGCAACGTCAGTCATCTATCCATTCCGTACGGTCTGTGCAGTGTGCGCGGTGGTTCCGTAACCTCCTTTGTTCTTGGCAGTCGGGGCTGCCCCGCCCCTTCCCAGGCCTCTGCCCCTGCTCCTCTGCACGCCAGCTGGCCGATCCCAAAGCCTCTCGCTCGCGGGCTTCTCTGGAGGACGTAACCACAACTCTCGGAGGTTTTAATTTAATCTCTTCCAGCGTTCATTCAGACACATTGTTCTTTATTGCTTTTTCATATATGTCCATTTTAAAAATCATAATCTTCCCCGCCCGTCACTGTTTATGCTGGAACAGCTCATTCATGAATTTCGTAATTTTTTTTTTTTTTTCTGTTCACTCCATTTTATGCCTACATGGGTCTTTGTGTGTTTGTGATTTTTTTTTCCCCTCTAGCCGTGTGACTGTCACTGTGGAAAGCTTTTTGTTGACAAGACGTGATTTCTTTCGGTCTTCATGCAGGAAATTCTTACAAGCTTACTTTGGAAATGCTCATTGCCGGCAAGGCTTTGGCAGGCAGTGCTTCTGATCTGAGGCCACTTTAGTGCTCTCAGATGTCTTAGTTTGTAGTGATTTTCAATTCTCCCTTTCCACTGTGCAGAAGCTGCAGACTTCATAGAATCCTGACACAGCTTAATAAGCTACTGCCCTCTGTGTGACCCTGGCTTTTATTTTCTTGCCCGCTTAACTCATGGTGGCCCTTTGTTCCCCAGTCTTTCAGGGAGGTTTGTCTGGTATTGTGACAGCCCTGCCTTTCATAATGTGTTCTCTATCATTCTGCTTACAAGTGGTGCTGTTTAATTTTCTCTGTGAGCTCTTTGTCATTGTGCAAATATATTTCAGTAGATGAATTTAAAAATGAAATAATAATGCCTCCTTTGCTAAGAGTACTTATGACGGGTGTGTACTGAATTTTATCATGTGTTTTCTGCATTGAGAAATAATCTTATTTTTCCTCTTTATCTTCTTAATGTGATTACTTGCATTGACAGGTTTTCAAATATTTAATTTACCATTCCCTCCCCCCAGGAACAAATCTTTCTGTGTTATAATGTTTTATCATTTTATATATTATTGGATTTTGTTTGCCAGAATGAGTTTCTTTGAATTTATGGCGTAAATTTTAAAATGGGAAAAAATCTGTATAGTAGCACAGAAATCAGATTGAAACAACTAATAAAAGAAAAAAAAAAAAAACACCTGTGAAGTAAGGGTAATGAATCAAGTATAATACTTTAAACGGATTATTGAGACCTAAATTTCTGGTTAAATTTATTAAGAAAAAATGAAGAAGCCTCAAATAATATCAGAAATTGTAAAAAGTGATATCTCTACATTAATAACAGACATGAAAAATCATGAGAGGATATCAGAAACAAGGTTTAGTCATTAAGTGTGAAAATTTACACAAAATGGTCTTATTTCTAAAGCCACATCTATTATTAAAAATAGCAGAAAAAAGAAACAAATACTGGACTGTTACATAAATTAAATCTGTAATTAAAAATTATTCCCTAAATGAAAGATTTTAAAGCTTTCCATGTGAAATAAATAGGCAAAAAGTTCTATATTGTTGTCAGTTCTAGCCAGTGCCATAAGGCAAGCAAATAAATAAAAGATGTTATAATTGTAAGAGAATTATTAGTAGGAGAAAGCAAAAAGTTGAGAAAAAAATTACTGATAAACCATTAAGTTTAATAAGCACATTTAGCAAGGACATTGGATAGAAATACAGTATTCCAAACTTGTATTTCCATTTAAGTTAAATAACACTTAAAAATTTAAAATTCATAACATTTATAACAACATAAAAAGTTGTCTGCCCCAGAAGTCAAACTAAATAAAGTTGTAGAAATTAAAATCATGTTTTATTTAGGAAGACTTAAAGAAATCAGGGGATACTCTGCTCATGGCATAGGAGCTAAGCTCAATATTTTCAAAAGGAACACTTTTTTCTAATTTGGTAATTATGAGAATATTGCTGTTTTCCACCATGACTGTAGGGAGTCTTGGTGATTTTTATTTTTTTTTCTTTGTATAGTTACTGAGTTTTATATTGGGGATGCCAGTTCTTCCAAAGTCTAACTTGCATTCTCTTTCCTCTCATAAATGCATTGGTTAGTGGATATTTCTTTGGCAGCCCCAAAGATTTTCACAGGAAAACAACTTAGAGCATAAAGATTGGGTTTATATATTGGCTTTTATTTAAATTTAATTTTATTTTTTCAGTGTTCCAAGATTCATTGTTTATGCACCACACCCGGTGCTCCATGCAATACAAGCCTGGTGGTGGGTATTAAGGAGGGCATTGTATATATCAGGCTTTTTACAGATTCACAAACATACGAACCTTGAATTATTATTTTGTTAAATGGTAATATGTTCCCAGCACTGTGTTTAATTTATATTTGATCCACTTTTTATAGACCAGCACTGTCCATTAGAATGTTCTGTGATGATTTCATGCATGTGCTGTTCAGTATTCTAGTTTGATAGCTATTGGCCCCACATGGCTATTTTTTCTTCCTTTCCTTTTCCCTTTTTCTTTCTTTCTTTCTTTCTTTCTTTCTTTCTTTCTTTCTTTCTTTCTTTCTTTCTAAAGACAGGGAGCACAGCACAAATGGGGGAGGGGCAGAGAAAGAGAGGATGAAAAGGAGTCTTAAGCAGGCTTCACCGCGGGGCTCAATCTCATGACCCTGAGATCATGACCTGAGCTAAATCAAAAGTTAGCTGCTCAACTGACAAAGCCACGCAGGTGCCCCAAGCCCCATGTGGCTCTTGAGCACTTGAAATGTGGCTAGATTGACTGAGTGACCAAATTTAATTTTAAATTTAGTTTAAATGGCTGCATAGGGTTAATAGCTACTATATTGGACAGTGAAGTTCTAAGTAATATTTGACTGTGCCATCTCCTCCCTCACACAGGAGGGAACAGAGATTTTCTAACCTGTCCAAGCTTATGCAGCTGTCATAGGGCAGCCTTTGTTTTCAGGCCCCCACCTGTGTGGCTCCCAATTCTGTTCATGTCCTACCATCTCATAGTGAATGATATCTTCTAGTTTTATAGTGCAAGTATTCTATATGTGCTATTAGAAACTAAAATTGTACTGCATGATTTTAAATATATGAGATCGAATAACTCGAAATGGGGACATGCCAATGTAGAAAGAATAAGCAAATACTTCCCATCTCAGTCCCATATCTATTCTCAGAGAATTTTCTCTGCCATAGTACTGTTTTGTTCTATTTTGCCCTGTTTTATTTCTTTTAATCTTTTTTTTTTAAATTTTTAAGCCCTGCTGTTTTCACACATTCCCTGAGATACACATCTCATCATGTCTCCAGTCATTTGGTTCAGCTGAGAGCTCTTTCCTCAGAAACCCATGCAGGGCCTCAGGATTGGGACCTGAGACCAACTTGTGCACACAGCAGTCTTCAGGGCAGTGCAGGAGCTCCTGGCAGGTCAGGATTTGAATGTCCAAGTGAAATGAATGAAAACAATGGTTCCACTTGAACAGGCCCCGCTAAGCACTTGGGACACAGAATGACATGGGGGGAGGTGGTTTATAGCACTGCAGGGCTGAGGCACAGTCCAAGCAGCCTAACAAAAGCCCCAGAGGCAGATATAAATAATACAGGGACAGATAGAAAAAATTCAGGAGGCCCCACAGACTTTTATTCCAAGTAGCTCAGACCTGCTGGGCTCAGCCCCATGTACCTGATATGTCCGTGTTTAAAAGACACATGATTGTCTCAAAGTAATTTCCTTCAGCAAACACAACTGCTTCAGGTCCAATGTTTAGGTACTACTGTGGAGATGGGAATTAAAACAAAGGTCTGGAGTCAGGGATCAAGAGTTCAAATCTGGAATACACATCTTTCTGAGGGATTCATCTTGGGCAAATTATTCACCCTTTATGACCTCATTTGACAAATGACAGAAATAATAACAGACATAATAATATGAGTGATTACCTCACAGATTTGTTGTATTAAAGGAGATAATTCTTATAAAATGATTGGGGCAATACTTATTACAAGGGACATTCTTTGAGATCTCCATATCTTCTGTTTTTAAAAAATTAAATCAGAGAGGGAGACAAACCATAAGAGATTCTTAACTCTAGGAAACAAACTGAGGGTTGCAGAAGGGAAGGTGGGGGGTAGATGGGGTAACTGGGTGATGGGCATTAAGGAAGGCACTTGATGCAATGAGGACTAGGTGTTATATGCAACTGATGAACCACTGAACTCTACTTCTGAAACTAGTAACACTATATGTTAATTAACAGATTTTAAATTTAAAAAAATTCAAAGTATTCTGCAATTAAAGTATCTAACCACATCAATATGTTTTCTGCTATCTGGATACAGTGGTAGTATGGCTATAGGATCCTTGGAGGTTCTGGACACAGGAGAGGTAGTGAATTAATATTTATTGCCTATCAGTATGAAAGGCATACTGATTTTGAAATTGACAGAGGCAGTTTTTGCCAACTGTAGTTCAGAATTCAAACTCACCAAATTGTATACATTAATTATGTGCTGTGTTTTATATATCAATTATACTTCAATAAGTTGAAAAAAAGTCAAGCTTTAAAGCTAGATGAAATTTAAAAAAATTTTTGGAAGTTCAGTTTTAGATAACTTTGTGCAGTGTTTTTGTCCCCTCATAAATTATAATATCATAAAATTGCTCTAATGATAATATTACACTGAATTATCTATATCATAATAAAACACTAAAAATTTCAAAAATTTTTGGATGCTTTGCACAAGCACC